CTTTTGTAACTTTGAAGTGTCACTAAATGAACTGTTATAAAACAAGGACTATATCCTGTATCCATGCAAGCATTGGCTGTAATTTGTACCATTCATTAGTTATTGCTTCTTTGAGTGGTGCAATGGCATAGAGGGTGAGATCTCACCTCATAAACAGGAGGCTGTGAGTTCAATCCTAGGTAGAGGCAGATATTTCTCTCTGTGGGCACAATGCTGAATATAACTCCGCATTGGCGACAGGAAGGGCATCCAGCCAGTAAACACTCAGCTTCATTCAGTTGCCCAAGATTCTACCCCACAAGGGATTACAGGATGTTTAAAAGAAGATGATTAGTTATTGCTTTTTTATTTCCCCATGCAATTCAAACAATCTATGGAACCATGATTTGCTTAAACACGCTTTACTGAATTGTCTGGGTATGCACAACCTGCTACACTGTAGACCACAGATTGCAAACTGCAATAGGTAGTTACACACAGCTATCAAAGCTAAATCATCCAGATTAAGACATAAAATGAATCTACCACTCACCCAGTCAACATGCTTGCTCTTAACCGAGATCACCAAGCATTTGTCTGAAAACCTTTTAAGGCTATTATTGCTACCACTTTCTAATTCTTTTATTGACCTTGACTGGTTAGCTGCCTTTTGCTACAAATAATATACAACAATTCTTTCTTAAAAGTGCAGAGAAAAGCAACAAAGCTGATTAGGGAACTGGAGGCTAAAACATATGAAGAATGGTTGCGGTAACTCGGTATGTCTAGTTTAAGGAAAAGAAGGACTAGGGGAGACATGATAGCAGTGTTCCAATATCTCAGGGGTTGCCACAAAGAAGAGGGAGTCAAACTATTCTCCAAAGCACCTGAAGACAAGATAAGAAGCAATGGGTGGAAACTAATCAAGGAGAGAAGCAACCTAGAACTAAGGAGAAATTTCCTGACAGTTAGGACAATTAACCAGTGGAACTGCTCGCCTCCAGAAGTTGTGGGTGCTCCATCACTGGAGGCTGTTAAGAAGAGACTGGGCAGCCCTTGTC